GAGTTTCGCACTCAGTACCGCCACTGCCCCGACTATCGCGACATCCACGCGACCCTTCGGAGTGGCAAGACCGTCCCGAACTACTCTCTCGGGGACAACGGTCTTGTGTACTGGCACGGTTCACAGGGCACCAGAGAGCTCGTATTTGTGTTCCCTCCACTGGACAGCTACGTGTCCGAACAGTAGCAGAGTTTCATGACCAGACAGCTGCCGGTCATATGGGCTTCCACAAGACGTTGGCTCGTGTGAGCCGCCTGTACGTCTGGCCGAAGCGCAATGACTTTGTGAAGGACTACGTCGCAGAGTGTCCCACCTGTCAGGAGGTGAACAGTGCAAACCACCTACCTTATGGTTTGCTCCRGCCTCTTCCTATCCCTGAGGGTCGTTGGCAGTCCCTCTCGATGGACTTTATCGGTCCTCTTCGACCTCCGACCCCCCGCGGTCATGATGCTATCCTGGTCGTCGTCGACCGCTTCACGAAGCGTGCACGCTTTGTTCCGTGCCGCTATGCCATCAGTGCACGTGAGGTCGCCGACATCGTATTTGACCGAGTTGTGCGTGACCACGGCTTACCTCTGAGCATCATATCTGACCGTGACCCGCGCTTTACCAGCCGATTCTGGCGACGGCTCCACGAGGTGTACGGCACTCAGCTCCGCTTCTCCTCGTCTTACCATCCTCAGACTGATGGTCAGACCGAGATCACGAATAAGACTCTCGGGGATATTCTCCGAAAGATTGTTCGTGACGACCAGCAGTGGGATCTCCATCTTGCCCACGCGGAGATAGCCTACAACCACGCCGTCTCGCCARCCACGGGGATGTCGCCTTACTATTGCGACCTCGGCTATCACCCGCSTGTTCCCGCGGACTTCCTTCGATCGTCCCAGATGCACCCCGACACGAGTTGTCCCGCGCTGGATGATTGGGTTGCACACATGACGTCGATTATGAAGACCGCACATGAGCACATAGCCGCTTCCCAGACTCGCATGGCAGCACGTGCGAACCAATCGAGGATGGATCACCCATTCAAGGTCGGTGATGATGTGCTTATCGACGTCCGCCACTTACAGCTCGAGGCGGACACGCTTCGCAAGTTTCGACATCGCTTCTTTGGCCCATGCCGTATCCTCCAGGCCGTCGGTTCTGATACGGCATCTAGCCCGGTCAGCTTTCGTGTGAAGCTGCCCGACTACCTACGCCAGGCTCGTGTGCATGATGTCTACCACGTCTCGTTACTGCGTCCTTACCACAGACCGTCTGAGCGTTTCGCTGGACGACCATACGAGCGCCCTCCACCCATCATGGTGGACGGCCACAAGGAGTTCCTCGTTTCAGACATCATTGGTCGCCAAGTCACCGACGACAACCCTCCCCACGTCGAGTATCTCGTACGTTGGAAGGGTTACCCTGATGAGGAGGCTACCTGGGAGCCCCTCGAGCACTTGCAGCACGCTCGCATGTTGGTGCGTGCCTATGACCGTGCTCGTCATGCTGGGTTCACTGCTCCTCCTCAGCCCACTGACCCTCCTCCTTCTCCACCGGCTGAGGAGACCGCTGAAGTTGAGCCTGCTCCATCTGAGGCAGACCTTCAGCAGCAGCCGGATGCTTCTGAGCGTCCACAGCGCACTCGTCGTCGTCCTGCTCGATACGACGATTGACTCTGACTTACCTTCCCACGTCTTTGACTTCTCAGTACTCCATCCACATCAGTTTTGCTACTTCAGCTCGTCGACGCTGCGGCCCTTCCTAGACGACATTCTGGACTTCTCATCGTGGACGTCATCGACAGCTTCATGGACTTCATCACGATCAGCTCTGCCTATTTCAGACGTCGCCACTCTCTTACCACTCTACCCTATACAGTACCCTGCTTGTGTCGCATGATGGTCTCCCGTTAGCCGGGTTCCTCTTAGTTGAGCTTTCCCTTGGTATACGCATAGGCATCGGGACCGTAGCGTTGCCCTGGCTTCCCATCTTACGGATCTAGCTCCGACTTCCCTCACTTTAGGAGTCATTTGCATCTCGCTCCCCCCTTCTTCCTCCATCTCCATCTCTGTCACTAGCGGAGCACCACACCTGGTGGGTCCGCTACATACCCTGACCAACATCCCTTTCTGTTGAAAATCCCCTACTACCTTCCTTCCTTCGAATCTAGCTTCCCCCCCTTCGGATCACTATGTAGCCATTGGAGTCACTCCTTCCCTCAAAAGACAAAGTCCTAACACACTGCTATAAGCAGCCACCCCCTTGCCATCTCTCCCCACCCGCCAGTACTGATCCGACCCTAAATCAGTCTGGCTAAGAGACAATAATCCCCCAATACCGCCTCCCCCCTCCAAGAATAACACCTCTCACCTTATGCAACCCTCAGAGGGGGGAGGTTCCAACCCTCAAGGAAGACCCCACAGATATACACAGCAAGCCACAATTTACCCCTCAAACCAGGAAGTTCGAACAATCCGGATTCAAATTTACCGCACGGTGTTATGATTAGCAACCATAGGATTAAGGCTAATTACTGAGTACAACTAATTAGCACAAAAACCAGAAAACTCTATCGAGATTGAGATAAGAGATTGGGAATAAGAGAAATCATAGGAAGTTTAAATCATGAGTTCTTAGCATCTAATTCAGGAGATCAATCGAAGATACGTTTTGAAATATTTTGTCCAAGTAGGAAATTGATTATGATGTCCTCACAGACTTTCGACTCTGATTTCCAGAACCCAAGTTCAAGAAATTACTCAGACCGTAAATAAGAAATCTTTAAACAGAAGCAACAAATCGACAATCAATTGAGAACAAAAATTGCTCAGACAGTAATTATGACATACTAAGCCGAAACAGACAGTAAATCAGAAAGTACTAAGCATCCAAAAACGACTATCTATTGCGTAAAAAATGGGACAATCAGTAGAAAAATACAAACTACCGATCAAGATTTAAAAAAAAATTGAATTACCATCCATGAATTTTTCTATGAGATTCTTATATCAGAAAAATAACGGCAAATTTAGTGGAGATCCCGTTGTTGCGTGAAGTCACCTTGGAGAAGCAGAAGTCTCGATTCGTACAAACCATCACGTAGCGCTCTACTCCCCCGACCCCATGAACCAGCTACCCCGCAGCTGCAGAGTCTAAACTCAGTCTCTGCCTCTTCCTGCAGGAGGAGCATGTTCTCCAACACATAGCCCGTGCTAAAAGCCCTTTGGCACGCCGCACTGACTAGAAGAGATTTAGCGGAACGCAATCACATCCTTGTCACTGCTCATGCGATCGCGTTGTGAGTGTCCACGTCAAACCTGTTAACGCCACCTCATAGAAAGTTCAGCCCCTACCCCGTGGAACGGAGACCACCAAATCAAGAGGAAGAGGAGACAGAGTAGAAAGGGTAGTGTAGGAGATCCCCCACCTGCAATCAACAACCCGCCACCACCTCCCACTCCTATCTCGCCTCCACCAAGACCCCAGCGCATGCCATCGCTCGCCAGCACCGTTTCATATCCATCCTGCTACATCGCGCCGCTCCGTGCTCGCCTCGCCCCTCCATGCTGCGTCGTGCCTGCTACGTCGCGCCGCTCCATGCTCACCTCGTCACTCCGTGCTGCATCGTGCCGAACGGGGCGCCTCGCTCCCGGCCGCACTGCGCCCCCTTTCTGTTCTAAATCAGTACGGTCGGTCAGCCAGTCGTTTGTTGGCAGACAACGCTGGGCGATTTGTCACTCTAAGAAAATGATTTTCATGGGTTTTGCCTTTTGAACCATTTGATTGGGGACAGGAGAGAGCGATCCACATTTAGGTGTCCGGCCCATCTGTCATTGACTATGTCTTTTAGCCATCTCTTGGGTCTGAGCATTTTGTAGGCTGATTTGGCCGACAACTGGCGTAGGCTGATGGGGCCTGCTTTGGGGCCTCCCCTCTGCTGGGGGAGTTCCCAAGACCATTCTGCTAGGTCCAGGGACATGTCCTGGATTGATGTGAAGGGTTGAAACACCACCCTCTGTCCTTTCTCCTCTAAGACTTTCACTCGATAAACGGATGCTGTCTTTCCATTCGAGGGGGGCTCTGCTACCTTGGAGAGTGTCAATTCTAGTGATTGTGTAGTGTTCAACCAGAACAGCCTGGGGTGAAACCATATGTATCTACTCCTTGTTGGCTACCCAGTCACCTTCCTTTAAGGATGGGCCTCGTCTAAGAATTTGGTACCATGCCAGCGGGATAGCTTCAATCAGGTCTTCCAAATGTTTCTCTACGTGGTGGCAGTATCGTAGGATTCCCTACATCTGGTCTCCTGTTTTCCAATCTCTTTTGTCTTTATCCCAGAGGTCCCCGACGCTGAGCACCCCTCTCTTAACCCAACTTTTCCGAGGCAAAGCTGAGCTGGTCATGATACAACCACTTAAGTTAGTCACCCAACGATTTCCAAACAGGGGTTGTCGGTAGACTTCCTCCCAGTCGGGGTGAGTTCTGTCTGGGAGCGTTAGTCTGCGCCAGGTATCTAATAGGGATGGCCAGAAGTTATCCAGACTCTGGTTGCCTCCGTCTAGCCCTTCCCTTGCACGGGGGAATTTGCGCGGGATTGTGCAGAATCGGTCCTCCAGCCATATCAGCGGGTGAGTGGATTGGGGGGCTTCTGGGGCCAGTCGGGCTAAATGTTATAGAGCTAATACACACCATGGACACTGGGGGGCGAAAATGAGCTTTTCAATCCATTTTAGTCGTAGTGCTTGCACTTGCATGGCCGAGTCAATTATTCCTAAGCCACCCCCTGCCTTAGGTTGGATAATGGAATCCCACGCCACGTGGCTGATTACGTTATTTTGCTCACCGTCTCCCCTCCATAGGAAAGCAGCCGCCTTTTTCTTTAAACTTTTTAAAGTTGTTTTGCTTAGTGGCCACAACAGCGATTTGTACCATAGTGATGCGAAGACCACGTTGTTAATTACTAGTGCGCGGCCGAAGAGGGATGTGTGCTTATTTTTCCAGTTGTCTAGTTTTTGCCGTGCCAGGATTGTTCACTGTTGTTGTCCTAGTGAACAAACAACGCCTTGAGGCCCACAAATCTTCAACAACCCAAAACAACGCCTCGAGGCCCACAAATCTTTAACAACCCAAAAAAGGACCAACCCTCCCCCCACCACTCCTATACTTCTTTCCACCTCTACTCACCTACTCTAACTCTCACCTGTGCCCTCTGTACCAATCCTATCCTAATTAACGACCTAATTGTGCTAGCTTTGTTTTCTTTCTTTCTGCGAGCAGCCTTTTCCTTTCTTTTGTTTATTGGATTGTATCTGCACCCGTTTTGAGGATAGGTGGGCAGCATTGGTTGACGAGACGTCTCCATCTGGGCCCATAATACGGCCAGATACAGACGTCGGGAGGTAGTTGTTGGGGCAAGCAGTCCCCATGCCATCATCACGGCCGTTACAAAGCGGAGAAAAAAAGAAGGAGAAAAGAAAAAAGCTACCACAACTACCTCCAAGGGCATACTCACACAGACACTTTGCTCAATGTATGTGGCTGCACTGAAGTCCAAGGCGGGCAGGAACAGTCCCAGCGTGATTTTTTCTTTCTTTTTCCTATCTCAGACTCCGCCCTGCCTTGTTGGCAGGGCTGTTACTCTCAGAGCATTTGTCCATTGCAGTACGTAGCTTTTCTTTTGTTTCAAGATTGATGAGGGATTCAGACTAGGGGTAAGATGTTAGACTTCCCCTCGGTTGAGGGCAATCAATGCTGCTCATCGAATTAATGATGTGTGCCTGCGTGTTGATTCAGGTGTTCACTCATGTTTATAGTAGGATGGACACGTGGCACGGTTACATAACTCTTGTTTACAAAATGCCCCTTCCTAAAATGTTGAGGGACGCTGGACCCACTTTCCAGCAGGTGTTGCTCCCCACCGATAGATGGAGCCTCCCCGAGTATGCTAGTGGTGTCTGCTCTTATCAGCCCCCCTAGCACTCACTCGGGTTGTTTCTTGTAAAAAAAAAAAAAAAAAAAAAGAAAAAAGATTCAGCACATCAGTTTGGACGACGCCGGTACGGGTACCACCCTCAACTTTCCAAGGGCCTCACCGGACGGCACAAGAAACGAAACGAAACGACCATCGAACTTGCGGGACTTCGCGAGCCACTAAAATCATAGGTTCATTTCATTTATGGCCTCACCGCCGCACAGCACATTCGAACTGCCTCGCAGGAGCGACCTGACGAGATCTGGCATGCGCTAAGGTCCACCCCTGAGCACGGTAGCGAGTTCTGGCATGCGCTAAAGGATCAAAATTTTGGATGCTCCGTTTGGACGGACTTCCCAGACTCGCAGCAATTCACAGCACCTCCACCGGCCATCGAGAGGACCTGCGAGTTCTCGCGAGTTGCAGGCGGGCACGGAAGGGGCATGTGCGCAGGCTCGCGAACTCCAACTCTGACAGCATTCGCGACTTTCTCCTGACAGGTTTCGTGTGGTCACTGTGCGGCGAGATGTTCACAAAACGAAGTAGTTTTTTTTTTCGTTTCATGTACCTTCTTGCGAGCCCCCAAGTGTGGTACCAGTAGTCTTCGGGCTCGGAAGTCCTGTAGATTTTTAGTGTCGGGTGTACTGATCAGAACAGATAGTACACTTGATCTTAGAGGCTCGCCACACAGGCTGTCGAAAACCAGGTTTTTTACAATTTTGCATCGCCACACGGACTTTCGAAGAATTGCG